TGCCCTTGAGAGAGGAGATTGGATGAATCTGAACATTCCTTCTGCAATGTCGGGAACTTCTTCAACCAAGGGGCATTGCAGGTGCAATCAAGCTGGCCTTGCGGAATAGCGTGCACAGATTCTGTTTTCCTACTGTATAGAAGCACAAACTTGCACCGGCATGCCCCAAAGCAGCACCAATATGACGGCAGTCCTCGATCGGTCAGTGCAGGACACCACCACCGCCGCCGCCGCCGCCGCCGCCGTCGCACCGCCGCCACCCCCAGCAACACCAGCACCAGCGCCAGCACCAGCGCCAGCACCAGCGCCAGCACCAGCGCCAGCACCACCATTGCCACTCAAACCGCCACCGCCACCTCCTGCACTCACGAGTCCCGTCACTACTCCTAGTATTATGTACTGTGCTAAATGTACTCAGCGTCAAAACGACAGGTAGCCAATCAGGCCTCCTCTCGACAGCTCAGACCTTCAGCTCGCATGCCACTGAAGACGTTGGTCTTGATGTCCTTTCCAGGCTCTGTGTCGTTGGAGCCTACTCTTTGGCACCCTATAGGGTCACTAGGGGATTGGGGAGCTTCTTACCAGAAGTTGCCTTCGTGCCAAGACCCGAATCTGAGTTGGGAGCATCGCAGCCGATACAGAAGTTCATCGTCAAACCTTTGACCAAAGACCGTCATGCCCTCTCTACCCCCGAAACCCTGAACGTTAATTGCCTTAACCCTCAACTTTAAAATGTCCCAAAATGTCCCATTTCAACCTGCGCTCCCGTGACAGAACGTTGCCAAATGCCAAGTCTCTTCGAGCCTTCGAGCTGGTGAACCCTCACAAGCCATCCCAGCGCACTCAAATCCGCTGAATACGCCTTCAGCCCCTCTTAGATTAAGAAAAAATCTCAACATGGCGCCTGCAGCTTCTGCATCTGACCTTTGTTGAAGATTTCTCACAGATTCCAGGCTGGCGGAAGAAGCAGCAGGGTCTTAGGGGGCAAGTCCTGACTGAAAAGAGCCGAAAGCCTGCCCCGAATTTCGATACTATGCCTCAAAAAAACCACACAAGCTGATCTAATACAGAAAGAAGACCGTAACTCCGGCATAGAAGTACATTAGAGAAATGAATCGCACCTGCTGTAGTAGCTTGTGCAATAGCGTGGCAGGTCAGATCCGTTTGAGAAAACGCATTAGTGCAAGCACCCTGTGATTACAGTTCAAATCCACAATCACTGCGTATGGTCGCACGGAGGACCCTTGGATATCTGAACCTTCGCGCTTGCTCAACAACCTGGCCGACTCGGTGATTTGCGGTTTGAGGCAGATTTGAGCCAGAGTTGCTAGCCGATGCCGCTTTGGCCTTCTCACTGTCCAGGAGAAGTTCAAGTAAGCCTGGTGAGGCATGTTTTGATTTTTCTCACAACTCCAGCGGTCCAGCTAAAAACGCTCATTTACCTGCCTGTATGGACTACAACTTTGAAAGATCCGTCCCTTCATTCCCTACATGCATTGCTGAGCAAAGGCCTCAAGTCTGTCACTCAGGCTACTCTCAAAACCCGTGGATGTGCGTGGTGTGGGGGAAAGCACTTTTTTTCAGAGAATGATATTTGTACATGTCCCGGCTTTAACAGTACATCCCCACGCGGCCTGAATGCATTTCCCACGCCTTCACCCTAAGCGCTCACAACTTGAACGTGTGGCAACGCCAAGAAGCTCTGGCCATCTCTGCCTTTGAGATCCTTTGTCTGAGCCTGAAGGTGTTGATTACCATGGAAGTTGAAGCGGCAAAATGTTGCATGCGTATCGGCTAACCTATATTCCAGCTTTCGTTCGCCTGCACACAAATGGTCTATGCTTGTTTAAGTCCCCTGCAGACGGTTCCACGTTCGTTGGAAGAGGGAAACTAGTTTACGTCCGGGTTGCGTGAGGTGTGCGCTAACTGTGGAAGGTGCAACTCGACATATACTCGTACGCAGGATGGGAGTGGAGACCTTGAGACAATCTTCTTGCGAGCTGCCGTGGCCAGAGTTCCGCACACAGAAACACGCAAGGGGGAAGGCCCTTTACAGATGTCCCTTTCAGCCTTGCATGACATATCCCCAGGCCAGAGGGTGGCCCACACGGGTCTGTACAGACTTGGGAATGGGAATACGCTCAATAGCCATGCTGGATGCGATCAACAATCCTTCTCAAGGCAGCTGATGCTTTGCTTAGCCACAACTGCGCGAGGCGGTTTAGCATGCGGCAGGCCTGCTGCTGCCATTAATTCTGTAGCCTTGCAGTAATACCACCACCTTCTTTAACTCCTTCTGACCAGAAGGAAGAAAAAAAGATCACGTCGAAGCCAACAAAAAGGAAACCTTATACAGGATGCCCTGAGCCCTTGAACAACTGGATCGCAGCTTCCTCGACATTCCTTATAACCCTAAAGTGAAACGTGAACCTCAAGCATTGACGCATTGTTCTAAGGCGAAGCCGGACGCCTTTCACATGTGTGGCCCACTACTGTAGGCTAGAGACCCTGCAACAGCCGAGGACTTCACTACCAAAACCCTGTGAACCGCAATTCCTATAACCCCACACATACTGTAAGCCCTGGTCAAAAATCCCTAGAAACCATGAGCCCTCGAAATCAAGCGGAGCAGGGCCTCCACGACTTTGAACCTGGGCCAATTTTAAGGAGATTCAATCACACAAATGACTTCGGCACGTTCATTTTTGGGGGGGTATAGGCTTAGGGTTTCTGGATTCTCACAAACAACAACACCCAACAGCTATCCAGTAGCTTGGAGCTCAAGCGCTCGCACTCGTCCAACATCTCAGCTTCCTGGTCCAGACCTCCAGCCCGGCACTACCAGAGTTTTAGGGGTTTTGGGGCAAGAGCTATGGGATCAGGGTTGTGGCAAGGGCATAAAGGTCGTCTAGCTTGGAAGTTCGACGTCTGGCCAATAAATGGGAGGCAACTGCTGTTTTTGGGGGGTTCCGCCTTCCTTCTAATTGTTTCACATCCTGAGCCTGAATTCCTCAGGCCCCTGACGCTTTCCCTGTTATGCGAAGGTCCCCGCGCCCGCATAATCAGCCAATACCGTATACTTAAGCCCCAAAATGTCTGACATGGGCCACAAGCCCGAAGATCTGGCATGAGCGGGCCGGCCGTTAGCTTTGCTGAAGTCAAAGAGTTCTGCTGTTTCCAGAAAAACGCATATTCCTCCCACCCTAACATTCCAATGTTGAACCAATTGCGACGGTGAACAGCTGTCATTGACTTCCTGAGCTGCAAGCGGTATGCAGGACCACATTAGGTATTTTGTGGATGTAGATGTACACGCGCACGGGCAAGAATATATTCGGCTTTGAGGCATGTCCTCCTTTTGCACGACCTTAAGCCGCGACTGAAAGCCAAGCTCCGAGCTCAAGCGACTCCGAGCCGAGATGTGGGAGATCTTCAGCCTTAGCTGGGCTACGGGAAATGCAAATTTCAAGGCTTTGGGAGTCTTCTGCCCATGGCCGCAGATAGCCACATGTGGACATGTCCGTATAAAGTGTTGCAAGCCAGCCCTTTGCAAAGAGAACACAACTGGATCTCTTGTATCGTTGGTAGGAAACCCCGGTTAGTGGCTTTTGAGGCAGGCAGAGAGAGAAAGAGAGAGAATGCAAGCTCGGATGAATGAGTGAATTAATGAATAATTGACAAAAGAGCCAGCATGCACACGAGTGAAAGTCAGAAGGAGAAGACGGCAAGAAGGCGGCATCGCATTGCTACGCTAAGGTCCTAATTTCGTCAAAGCGGGGTCTTCAAACAGGGCAGGGGAAGGGAGACTTCACTTGACAGTAGACCGTGATGAACCTCTATGCATTTATCTGCGTCACGTGTATTGGGGAAATGCGAGCACAAGTCCACGGATCTTCCGCTTCCCTTGTTCAGCGCCATGAACTACGGGAAGGGTGTTGGGCTGACAGACGCAGTTGAAGGTCAAGCCTGGGATGAGCTGCACATGAGTACTTTGCCTGGCGCTACCTGACCCCTACTTGTTCTTCTCCCCGCTGCATCACAACGGCGTACAAGAAGTCTTGAAGACCTTCCTGCCTTGCATGGAAACCTTCCCTCTTGCATGGAGTGAGGGGATAGATACCTCAACAAATCACCTCATCACCGCTTCAATAATCCCATAACAACCCCAAGAACAGAATACTTCCAAACAAAGGCCTGCACCCAAAAAGGCAGGGCACTGCTTCCGCATAAGCCCAGGCTCCCATGTGCATCCCCCCAATGTTGAGCCCGAGCAACACGTACCAAGCGAACACTGCACGGAAGTCCCAAGGAAGGGATACGCCGCTTCCTTCAGCTACAAGACATCCAAGAGCGAGGAACCTTGATACTAGGGAGGGAGTAAACGAACGAGTCCTGTGGGGACTGCACTAGTCCTGCTACCTCCCAAAGTCCCTCAAAGTGCAGAGGTCAATACATACAAAGATTTGGCATGTGCCTTGCGCAGACCGACCTTGCGCAAGCCTTGGGCCATCCCAGATTCCAGGCATCCTGTAAATCACCACCTGTTTACTGTATTCGCAGTGACAGGTTGGGTATGGCTCAGATGTCCCCCGCGTCACGAGTGGTGCAGTTAAGAGGGAAAGGCTAAAACAGGTCATGAGACTGCATGCTCTTGCATAGATAGTTGTGGCCCTGATGGGGGGACTTCATTCCGGCGAATTCCCGTGACTCAAAAACGGGGTCCGGGTTTGTCAAAAAGGGAGCAAATCTTGCATTTGCACGCTTATCCGGAATTTCTGAATCTTAAACTCCTACATGCTCATGGACAAGGATCCGATTACCAATAGGCCGTGACACGCTCGTGCAAATTAAGGAAATGGGGTAATTCAATCCTAACATGCCCTCAACTTCGCCCGTGGAACCTAATTTGGGTTGTGACTACAGTTGCCCTCCTTCTCATAACTCCACCTTCAGTTACCCATGACCCTCCAAGCACCGCCAAACCCCCACAAAGTATGCCCTTAACCGCCAGTCGCGCGGCGCATCACCGCCAGGGTGATGAGGCATCGGCATGCCAAGGCATCAGGATGGGAATCCTCCACCAGGCCAAGGACCTCGCAGGAGCTTGGTCTAATCAAGAACTTCAGGCTTCAGGTTCATAGTTCTTGGCAGTTTGGAAGCAAGCCTTGGAATTTAGCGGTTTGAGCGCCCGGTTCGAGTCAAGCTTAAAAAGGTCTCCAGATTAAAGGCGCTGCATGCATCCGGAATCAGCTCAAGCCCTTCCGCATACTGGAGAACATGGCCAGAGAACCTAAGGAATTTTGCTACAAGCTTCTGATTTGCAAAGCGAATCCAAAGGCCTGGGAGGGCCTAGCTTAGGGTGAGCCAAGCAGAGAAGGAACCTGAGCACTCCAGGGATTGGAAATGAAAGTAAGGACACTTTCAGAATGCTTATTCCAGGGCTCCACTATTTGGCCTGAACGTTCCAATCCTGCGGGATCTGAAGGTGCTTTCTACTGACACCACAAGGAATGTGATTTGGATTGCCATTGGGACTGTCCAGCGTGTTGTCTCGAGCTATTCGTTATATTGGTTATCATCATTGTCCAAAACCCCAGGCAGTCTTTACCAAACTCCTGCGTAGCCGGGTCCCCTGTTTGAAAGGCCTGGAGGATCTGTGCTTCCTCATCATTCAGCTCGGCATCCGTGCCCACTGCATGCACCAGTGAGCAAACACCTTCACATGAAGCTTTTGGGGCCGCGTAGACACCAATGATCATTGGCTCTCTACGAACCAACAAGGTTGTGATACATTCGGACCCAATGACAACACCAAGCGTAGCGCTAAGCGTTTGGGGATATGGGTATGGGCCATGGGCTTCAAGCTTGATTGATTAAGGGCTCTGAGTCTGAACCTGAAGCTCTAAAGATTGCCCAGCAGGTAGACAGAAGCGGTCGTTCAACCGAGACCATGGTATCCCGACTATCGGGACCACTTAGCGGGACTATAACTTGATGGGAACCGCAGGTGCGACTTCTTCTGCGAGCTTAAACTGCCCTTACAACAGAAATGAGGAAGGCGTCTTGCAAAGTAGACTACCCTCATGGAAAGATGTAACATGAGAGATCCTACGGGTAGGGACTACAAGGCGATGGTTGGTGTCTTTTTGAATCGTAGAGACAGCACATTGAACAAAAAAAAACACAAGACCAAAGGGCCTATATCTGAGTACGTCGTTGGAGGGGATGCTAGATACAAGACCAGCTTTGAGCAAGCTTGAAGGCTGCTTTCAGTTTTGTCTCCCTGGAGACTGGGGCTCCTTGAGAAACACTCTCGATTTAGAAAGCGATGACAAACGGATGGTGAGGGTCATCTTAACGATTATGTGGGGATTGCTTTGGGGTAGCTCAAGAAACCAATGTCCCACAGATGCTTTTGTTCTGGGCTTCCGAAGATCGGGGTCCCTAGCCTTCATGTTCAGGCCCAAATCTCGAATCCCGACTTGCACGCAACTATAGTTCTCACCCAAAAGCTTCGTGCGCCTGCGTAGTCTCGAGCGAGGAAACGCAGGAGCAGCAAATACCTGTTTTCTTCAGTAGCAGCAACTCGGCTATGTAACGATCAGGGCCCCCCTTAATATCTTTGGTAATTGAATGTCAACAGTCACAGAATTCGTGCATGTCCAGGTCACGATCCTTGTCACTTTCCTCGTTCTTGAGGAAATCCAGGCGCCACCCTCGTATTTGTCATCGTTTTGGGAGCCCCGCAGTCGCCATTCTCATGTTTCCGAAGCCCCGCAATCGTAGTTGTCACCTTTTTGCGCTCCCTGGTCACCACACCACCGAGGAGAGGGGTTAAATTTTGGGTTGTATTTAGGCGTATCATGCCCTGACATCTCTCGTGTTTCTTGCTTGGGTTCCCCTTCCCTTTCAATTAAGGCCAAAATTTAGGTGTATTATGCTCAAGAAGCGCATCACACTATATAGCGGATCTTGAATTTTGGGGCCAACATCAGATGTGGTCACCAATAAATACAGGCCATGACCACACCATGGGGTGGGGGAATGCCGCGCCTTGATCATATGCCATCAATCAGTCAGGGCCTACTCATGTACGGTAACACACGCCAATTGCAGAGGAAGGGGCTCATTACGTTGACAAGCCCTATTTCACTCAACAGCAGCGTTGCTCAAACAGGACTCCGAACCGGACTGCCTTGTAGCGCAATGTGGCGCAAATGCGCATCATCTGAGAGATTTAAATTCTAGACTGCCGTAGTACTGATCTTGTTAGAGCCTTGTTGCACGATGCCTGGTCTGAGGGATCATGCTTGCCACCTGTGAACTAGCGAGCATGCGAGCATGAAGTACAGGTCTGACAACTTTAACAAGTTGTACTACTCTCCAGCGGGCCCCAGGTAAATGCCCCGAGTTCGTTGCATTGAACCATTCGACCAAGAGGCATCGCCGAAGAAAAAGATGGGGCAATGAGGAAGCCCTTGGAAACGTGGACCTCATACTTGAAGTACGTGACCTGTGCCGCGAGACGCGGCTTAGGCTTCTGGGCTTCAGGTGTAGGGATGGCAGCTCAGAATTTGGCATTTCTTGCGCTCTTCAAAGCGAGAGCATCCCCATTGTTGTCATCAACTTTGAACATCAGCTCCCTCCAACTCCTACTGTCTGAGCTGTTGACACCCAGGCGTTTGCTCAGTCAAGGTGCTGTTTCTGAAAGAGTCTGCGTCGGGGTCCATAGTAGATGGTAGTTTCCCTAGATACGGGGACTCCAATCTAGACCCCGAACTAGGTCTTTGCGCCTTTCGCCGCCGTGAAAGGTAGGACGATTAAATCTTGAAGTCGGCAAGAGTATGCGCATGGCGAAGTGTACGAAACAGTGGCAGGCGTGGCGAATCTGCAAGTAGCGGTAGCAAAAGACTAATGCATCGGTGTGCAAAAACCCTACGGGTGTGGGTTACGATGCATTTTATTGATGTCTCCTTCGTTCGGACTTTTTTAATTGCCGGCATGCAGATCATACCGAAAGTGTTGCAAAATACTGGCCTGCGTGGGATATTCCACAAGTAGGCATTTGGCGACGTTCAAAGGAAATGCAGTGTGAAGTACGCAACTGCAAGTGCAGAATTGCAAAACCAAAAGTTGTGCTTTGCGCGTCCTTTTTTGAACTCCTCAGCTCCAGAGAGCCTCCCAGGAATAGGCAAAATCCCATATCTTGGAATTTGCCCTTCCACTTCATCCAGTCTTCCACACGGCCTACAGAGGAACGCCACAACTTTACCCAAATGTGGCGCGGTGGTGCTCCCTTTTCGTTGCTGCTTACCATGAATACTTACGAATAGTCATACCCAAGTATCATGAGGGGGGCCCTTCCCTTTTTTCTAATAGAACACGAGTCCTACCCAAGTACGATGGTGTCTTGATCCCTTTTGGTTGTTGCTTACCGTGAAATTTAGAAATAGTCACACCCAAGCATCACGAGGGGGTTCCTCCCTTTTTCTCAGGTCGAATCCAAGTATGGTGCGATGGTGCTCCCTTTTGGTTACTGTTTCCCATGAATCTTACGAATAGTCTTACCCAAGTATCATGAGGTGGCCCGTCCCGCATTTTCGAACAGAGCACTAGTCCTGCCCGAGTATGAAGCGACAAGCCGCAACAGATGCCATATCGCACCCACAGGTCTTCTGGGGACATCTACCCCCAACGGACTATACATCTTTAGCTATCTCCATCCCAGGTCCGGATAAAAAAGCATTAAGAGTTCATCGTGGCGACCTCCAACATACACCTTCTGAGCCGGAGCGAATAACGCGCATGTCTGCGGCTATCTCATGGGAAAATTTGCGCAACCTTGTTGCTGAACTCAGTAACCTTTCGGCAAGGTAGGCGATTATGAGGACTCCTTTTTCAGACCAATTCGACGAAAGCAAGCTCGTCAAAAAAAAATCCAGCATCCGCGAAATAGTGCAAATACCAGCCCATTCGGCCTTCTTGATGCGAAAAACATGCATACTTTTGAAGTGGTCGCTGCAACAGCGTCTCATTCGCAAAAATCTCCTCAAGAAGAAAACACTGTAAATTGCCCGCTATTTGCGTCTTGCGAACGTAAGGACCCTCCCACTCCCCCACCCCGCTGCCAAGCCTGATTCCAAAACCTTGATCCCATATTCGACGGGGGAATTCCGCAGCCCTTCGGGAAGGTACAGTAGGCGTTCATGAAGAAATCATTTTCAGGCTAACTCGACTAAAACAACCTTGTCAAAAAAAGGGCTCATATCTGGCATCCACGAAATACTGCGAATACCAGTACATTCCAGTACACTCGGCCTTCTTGACGCAGAAAACACTGTAAAACACGCATATGTTCAAGTGGGCTCTGTAAGAGCGGCTTCTTCGCTTGAGCAACAAGAAACACTTCAAATTACATTGTATTCGCATGCTACGCACGTAAATACCCACCCATCCCCCTGCCAACCCAAATCCCAGAAGTGGCAGGGCGGCGAAAGGCTCGAAGGCCTAAGCTAGATACGGGGACTCCAATATAGACCGTGAACTACTCTAGTCCTTATTATAGGGACCCCCAATAAGGTACCCCTGATTTTGAGAAATCCCTGTCCCGAGCCCTGAGCCGAAATCGAGATCTACAGCCCCCGTTAAGTAAGTAGAACATGGGGTATATGGGGATTTTAGTATGATATTCGGCAATTTCACAATTTACGTAAGGGGGACTATACCTCTACAGCCTACCAAGCAAAGTCCTTGGGAAGCACACAGCATGATCGACAGAGGTCCAGGAAACCAACACCACAACCCTACAACCTGCCTTTGCTTTCGAGCTCCATTGCTTTCCGAACTTGCGGAGCTTTTCAAATACCTGGAGTTCTGTGTTTACGCAGGGTTCGAGACACTCTGCCTTTGTACTTGTTCGGGCGCTCTGAACGACATGTACAGACGTAGGCAAGGATCCATATCCGCCTAAACAGTCACGCCTACGTGGCCAGACTAAATCCCATAGAACATGCAGATCCTGGAGTAGCAACAGTTCTGCAAAGGCTAGAAGATTAGCTGGGGGAAGAATGCGTTGTCTGAGTGATGTTTAAATTCCCTGTCAGAGCTGTGTGCAGCTTGCCAGGCTTTCCAAACTCAGCACGCGCATCTGTAGTCAAGTTCTCTTGTCCTACAGGCAGCTAGGAGGACCACATCTGCAGGCAGAGGCTACCTTTGAATCCTAAGATTGCTCTAGACTCTAGGCTCTTTCGACCTTCCAATCCAAATCCTAAGCTGCCGGGGCAGCGGCAATGTCAGTCGTAAAGGGCCGGCCCTTGACAGCTGGCCGCACCGGCAAGGATTGAGGCACCAGCACGTGCAGTGCTTGCATCTCATCCTCATTCCAGGAGCACCAAGAGAATATGCTCTGACTGCAATCAATTGGGCTGATACAATGCCCTATGCTGCATACCCCCTGCAAGGCCATGCAGAAAGATGATCCCTCCTGACATGCTGCACATGTTCTCAGGTTGCTCGGGCCACGCGATGTAAGGAAGCTACCATGTGACCATGTGGTGCATCACCGCAAATCCGCAATATCCGCAGCCCCAACCCTTAATAATTCGAGCCCCAGGATGAAGCTACCCTTGTCAGTGTGAGGTGTGGAAAGAGTGGAGTCAACGGCTTGTTCGTGTTACCCATGTGACTTGGAGCTGTATGGGGAGGTGGCATTCGTGCTTTTTACCCAAAAAAACTGATCAGAGGCTGCAACCGTGAGTGACTCCAAACAAGGCAGGTGACGCAGAGGACAACGGAGTGTGGCACACCCGCGAGTAGCTTCGCCACCTCGTCAGCTGTGCATGCAAATTTTATGCGGGGTCTGGACCCATGATACAAGGTATGGCTAGGCCGCCCTAGCGAATCCAGGTGAATCCTGAAATCAATATTGTCCACAGTCCAGCCCATTCTCTGTTGTCAACACGGTTCCTTTGCAGGCGAGCGAAGCCCCGCAAATACTCACAGCACAACCAGCCGCCAATGTTTCTCGTGCGATAATTTGCAGATTGCACGAACACACTGATCGCTGGCTGCCGTATCATTGTTTGCAGCATGCTGCTTATGTTTGCCCTACAGAAGATTCAACCTGCACACCGTGTCGCTAGACTACGCTGTGAATGTCAAAGTCTACGTGCACATTCTTGCAGCTCAATCGTCATCGTTTCCCTTTCGTCGATGCCGGTTCCACAAAAGGGACTTCTTTAAATACCCACACCCACATGACGTCCCATTGCCCAAACAAACTTCCAAAAGCCCACCTGCTCGGCAACTGGCGCCTGAGGAACACTTAGGTTCCCAAAGTCTGCTGAAACCAGCCGCTGCCTCATGCACCATCAGGTAAGGTCTGACCGTTACATTCCAGAATATTCAACAAGAATTAGTAATTAGTTTACGAGGTCCTCGTGTCAGGGCAAGCATTACAAGCCAAGAACGAACTTGTCACGCAAACGGTTGCACAATTCGCTGCAGAAACAAGCATTCAGTCATCAGCGTCAGAAGCTTACATGAAGGTTCAAATGCTGGTACGAAACAGCATGGCAGGGGCTTGGTTGGAACGAACACACCTCATGCACTGTAATACAATGATTCCAGTGATGCTGCGACCTCGAAACTGAGAAGGTGGGCTTCAAGCAATAAAAGCAACTAAGGAATGTCCATGACACGTCCCGAAGTCCGTATTGCATGCAACATCAAGCAACCAAGCAAGTGGACTGCCCATCAATCTCCATCCAAAATCCATGCCAAGCGGCTTGCCCTCTTCGCCTGGGACTCTAAGATATGCTGTCTAGCAGTCTAATTGGTTCATTCTCGGGCTTGAGCAACAAAACACGGAAAATGGTATTCCAGGAATGAGCCAGCCGCCCTGAATGAAGAACGTCAGCCCCAGGCGGGTGAACTGCAGCACTCGCCTTGGTTGGAAATCCTGTCCAGAAGGGTTCCTACGCCATTAGCATAGCCTTCAGGCAGGGTTCCAGCGGTGACTCGAAGCAACCAGGGTAAGAATCCAAGGCATTCTCGGCGTATTCGCTAGAGGAGTCAGCCTGTAGATCACTTGTCCTGAAAGAACTGTAGATAATGCGAAATATGCCGCTAAACGAGTCAACTGTAGATCACTTGTTCAGAATGAGATGTTGATAATGTGACATATGCATCATACTGAAATCCAAACCACGGTCGCAAATGGCTTGCTTCCTCACGTGGAACTCATGGTGAGCGTGAAGGATCTATTCATATCATGGCTGCTCCATGAGCCTATCCTGCACACATTCGCTGCCAAGACGTGTGACAGTACAAGTTTCAAGAACCACGAATTTGGCTGAACATGGGCCCATGCTTCCTCACCTGTTGCCCATCTTGTTACTACCACCATCTGTCGATACTATTACTACTTCAACCAGTACCACTACTACCACCACTCCTTCTCCTCCTCCTACTACTAGTACGTACTGCTACGACCAAAACACATTTTCTACAATATCCCACAAAACCTTGATACTCAAGCTTGCTTCCCTCCCTATGAAACCACATGTGAAGAACTCAAGTCCCAGCAATTTCTTGAGAATCCACAAGCTGAAGGTCCTGCACATGCTCTACAGGATTCTAGCACTTTGCATAAGTCATCACGCGCATTTTTTCTAGAATCTCAATGCTAAGTTGATTGCAGGAGACACTTTCCGCAATTGCATTACAAATAAAAGGGAACATGCATTCTAGAGGCAGGGGAGCAGAGGCCCAGCCAGGATTCGACTTGTCAGCCTCAGAACCTGAGCTGCTCGGACAAGGTCAGGGTGGGCAAAATCAGACTTTTTTGGACAGGAGCTTGCAGGGAGTGAATTTTGACATGCCCGGCAGTTGCAAATTCCTCTTCAGGCTTGTTTGTGCTAACGCCGTATGAAATCTGGGATTAACATGTGAGACAAGTGCTTATGCTGGGCTCTATGTTTATTGGATAGGCCAGGTTTGGGTAGTCTTGCCATAGCTATTGAGCTTCGAATCGGAGAACCTCATACGTAGTCTAACCTGCGTTGAAGGTGGTGATGTGGGTAAGAATCGCGACTGGATCTCTCCTGTAAGCTCCAACTTTTCAAAATTCAGACTTCTTCTCCTTCAACGTGTCACCCAGCCGCACTCCGGAGTTGACCCCACATGAGGTCAGCTTATCGGCTGTCATATTTACTTTGAGGGCGCCACGTTGTGCCCTACCCCTTCATTCCAACAAGTCCCCAGGACCCGAGGTCCCAAATCCAGAGGGTTCCAGGCAAAGCCTTTGGTTCTGGTAGTATGGGATCCTTATGAGGGGATCTCGGCTGATTCAATGGCCTTCGTAGGCTTGACTACAGCAAGACTCATTCATCTTCCGGCAAGAGATTGCGGGTGCAGCCCCGTAATTCCTACTCTAGGACTCTAGAATCCCGATAAGCCCTGTCCTGATTCTCAGTGCCCTGCAGCGACCCCAGGCAAGAACCTGAGTAACCGCAGCTGGCCATGCGAAATTTCAAAAACGAATCAGGGGGCCCTTTGGTGAATCCTTTCCATGGGACTCGCACAGAACTTAGGGTACGTATGGGGCCATACTTTTCCGGAAGCTGCAATTTAAGGCTTTGTCTACGCCCCGCTTCCAGCGTTTTCGTGTTCAGGTGTCTAACATAGCCACATGGCTTAGCATTCTCCACTTTCTGGATGGATGTAAAATGCACGGCTTCGTAACCATCACCATCTCGGCGTGCATGAAGAATCTGATCAAGATTTCAAGACACATACATAACTTATGCCGGGTAAAACAACTTCCGGCTGTCTCTCAGGTGGAGGAGCCTCAACAGGTAAGAGACATCTTTACCCTAAACCCCACGAAGCTTAGGACTGGATACTAGATTCACTGAATAATTGCCTTTGGGTTTGCCCGAGCCCCACAAGCAAGAAGCACTACCTGAACCAGGACTCTCCAGAGTAGCACCGCAAGAATTCTGAACAGGAACCTGCTGAAGCGTGCAGCCATTAGGGGATGCAGCCAAAAGTCATTACTCTTTTAGACATCAATGAATTAGTCGTTAGCAGAACAAACCTTCATGGTTTTGTTGGAAGTTGGGGCTCTGAGTGAACGTGATTGACCATGGAAAGGGGTTCTTGGAAGCTGGCACCACCCATTGCTGCATCATTAGACATTGTGACATCCACTATTACCATACCAATGTAAGGGAAGCTGCGGGCTCTCTTAAATCTTGGAAAGCAACCGGGATGCATCAAGTTGAGAAGGCAGTAAGGCTTCAAGTTTCCGAGCTCAAGGGCAGGCCTGCAAAAACCTGCGCCCATCACATCCTGAGGATGGCATCGAACCGCATCATGCGGCAAAAGATAGACCTGGCCTCTCATCGAATGAGCCCCGCTTATCATTGCTGTTGTTTCACGGTTTAGGGTTTAGGGTTGTGACTTCTCACTTGCTGCTGCAGCCATTGCTGCTACTGCTCCCAGTCTTCCGGCAGCAGCCGCAGCAGCAACATCAGCAGCTACAACAAGAAACAACAAAGTCTCAGAAACAACAGCAATGCAACATTAGCATGAATGCTACGGCCGCTCACAGCAGCAGCGGCGGCTACGGCAGCACCAGCACAAGCACGAGGGTCACCAGCAGCAGGAGCTGCGGCAGCCCCATCACAACCACCGCTGCCGCCACCCCCAGCACCAGCAATACCAGCAGCAGCAGCAGGAGCAGCAGCAGCAGCAGCAGCAGCAGCAGCAACAGCACTAGGACAGGCATCAGGACCCGGATCCACCAGCACCAGCACCATCAACAGACCCAGCAACAGCAACACTACTTGTTTTGCTTGCGCTGCAATTCTACTGCGATTAATGATCCTCAACTTACTCCATCTCTTGCTACTGTATGTTCTGGCATACCACTACCTGTGGATTGTAATGCGATACAAGGTGCATGAGCCAGGTCATCCAGACGTGATGCCCACCGCGCTACTGAATGCAGCGGGGTTCCTGGGTATTCTCTTGCAAAGCAAGAGATTTGCAAGAGTATTCTGGGGCTACGTAATAAGGCGGCTGTTACAGGAATGAAACTGATGTTCAGTCTGTTCGTCGAGGTTCAGGGCTAAGTGTTTATGGAAAATTGACGTCGAGTCTCGAAGCTCTGAAGTTGGCATGCCGAGCTAACTGAACACCCCTTTTGCAAACAGTTTGGAGGTTTGGGCCCGGCCTATGTAGGTAGGATAGCTTTAACCCCCACTGATTCCAACATAGACTTCCAACTACGTAGCTGTGAACCTTCGAAGACTAGGCAGAATTTCCTTGCTCGCATTCTGCGTTGTTCCTGGCAGAGATCATGTT